TGCTTTTCAATAGTAATTTTTATATATTATATAAAAATTAAAAATTTAATAATATTTTTATTTATTGCTAATTAAATTAACGAGAAGCTCATTTCAAATTTTAAATAAAATAGAACTAAACGATATTGTATTAAGAAAGTAGACGTTATTTTTAAAAGGATTTATTATTACATGATATTGGATCGCAGACGGTAATGGCACAGCAAAGGTCATGTCGCCAGCTCAGCTGCGAGCTTTTGGAGGAGGAAGAGGGCTCCCTCTCTCTCTCTCTCTCTCTAACTGTCACGCTGGGGAGGACTGGGTGGGTGGCTCTCTGCTCTTCTGTTTGTATTTTGTAATTTCGCATCCCCTCAAAAAATTGCCATGCTTTGCCTTCTCAGTTATCTACTCTCTCCCCTTCCTCTTTTTGTGAATTATTACATCTTTTTCTGCTTTTTCTCTTTTTAATTAATGTCCGTGGCAGGTTTTCCTAAGATTCATCATTTTACGTGAATATATAAATATATTTATTTCCTTCTCCGTTTTCTCTCCCTCCCCTCTCTCTCTCTTTCCTTCTCTGCTCCGGTGTCACTGCGGAAGCGGAGATCCGCGAGGATTAAGTTGAAATCTGATCATATCATAAGAGAGAAGAAAATTATAAGATAGCGACCCGAATTGGAGAATGAATGGTGCCGCACACCTCGAACCAGATGGCTCCGAATTTGTCGAAGTTGATCCCACCGGCAGATATGGCAGAGTATAACTCTCTACTCTCTTCCTCTTTCCCCTCTTTATGTTTTTCACCTCGCCTGCTCTGATGATGTTTGTTTTGGTATTTGTTTCAGTACAATGAAATTCTCGGCAAGGGAGCTTCAAAGATAGTGTATGAATTTAGACTTATCATATACCCTTATAATTATTGTGGCGCCTGTTTTTGTTTGCCTTTTTATCTAGCATTTTAAGATCCGTGGGTCTTTTTGTTGTTGGTTTTGTTGGCGTTCATTTATGTTTCCCTTGATGTCTGTAGAAACCAGCAATTTGTGATCTTTCTGTTTACTTCTGAACTGATGCAGATATAGAGCATTTGATGAATATCAAGGTATTGAAGTTGCCTGGAACCAAGTCAAGCTGTATGATTTCCTACAAAGCCCTGAAGATCTTGAGAGGCTCTACTGTGAAATTCATCTACTGAAAACATTGAAGCACAAAAACATCATGAAATTTTATACGTCTTGGGTCGATACTGCTAATAGGAATATCAATTTCGTGACTGAGATGTTCACTTCTGGTACTCTTAGGCAGTAAGTCTGTTCTATAGAGCTCAAACTATTTGCTCCTTTTGCGTTACTTTTTTGGTCTTCTACTTTGAGATCTGTTTTGTTTCTTCTTTTTGAAATTTATCTGTTTTTATTATCAAAAAAGGTATAGGCTCAAGCACAAAAGAGTAAACATAAGAGCGGTAAAGCATTGGTGTAGACAGATCCTGAGAGGACTTCTCTATCTCCATAGCCATGACCCGCCTGTGATTCATAGAGATCTCAAATGTGATAATATTTTTGTCAATGGACACCAAGGCGAAGTGAAGATTGGTGATCTTGGTCTGGCAGCAATTCTACGGAAATCCCAGGCTGCACATTGTGTCGGTATGTTTATTTCATGCCACTATAATATCCGAAGATGTTAAGAAGTTATTCTGTAATCTCCAATAGCAATGACAACTAATTGATATCTTGTTTTGGAAATGGTTTGGCAAAAACTCACGAAACAACATGAAATATTCTCCCGCTGCCTATGTATGTTCTTTAGAAAATTAGAGAATTGTTTTAAACAAGGGGTAGTTGTTATGGCTTGTTATTACTTCGGAGTTTCATCTGCTACAGTTTTATATTTGCAGGAACGCCCGAGTTTATGGCCCCAGAAGTGTATGAAGAGGCATATAATGAATTAGTTGATATATATTCTTTTGGCATGTGCATACTTGAAATGGTCACATTTGAATATCCTTATAGTGAGTGTACTCATCCAGCGCAAATCTACAAGAAAGTCATTTCTGTAAGATTGCTCTCTGTCTCTGTGTGCCTGTGCCTGTGCCTGTGTCTGCAGGAGATGGATTTTCTGAGTAATCAGATATGATTGACATGTTATATTTTGTGTCTCCAGGGGAAAAAACCAGAGGCTTTATATAAAGTCAAGGATCCAGAAGTGAGACAGTTTGTTGAGAAATGCTTGGCAACTGTGTCTCTGAGGCTCTCTGCAAGAGAGCTTCTAGATGATCCTTTCCTCCAGATTGATGATTACGAATCATTATTAAGGCCAGCAGACAGTGGGGAATTTGATGACATGGTTCCTCTCATCCGACACCCATTCTATGATTTTCATCGAAGTTACAGTAATGTCAGTAATGAATACTCTAACGGATATGGCTATGATGGAGAGTGGTTTCCTCATCCAACTGAGATTGAACATACTGGAATTGAACTCTTTCAATACCAGGATGATGAACCCGCTGAAGATGTTGATATAAGCATCAAAGGCAAGAGGAACGATGATGGGGGCATCTTTTTAAGACTAAGAATTGCAGATAAAGAAGGTCGGGTTATCACTATCTTATCCTTGGTACCTTGTACCTATGACTTGTAAGTTTTGCGCTGAAATTGATCGCTGATCAGTCTGTGATTAATATATATTGCAGGGCATATTCGAAATATTTATTTCCCATTTGACGTAGAGACCGATACAGCCTTAAGCGTGGCCACTGAAATGGTCGCAGAACTTGACATGACTGATCAGGATGTAACCAGAATAGCGGATATGATAGATGGGGAAATTGCTTCCTTGGTACCTGAATGGATGCCAGGGCCAGGAATTGAGGAAACTCCTCGTTTTGCAAGTCAAAGTTTCTGCCACGACTGCGCATCTAATCGTACATCCAGTGGTTCCCTTGCGGATTTTCTGTCACATAGCTCGGGCACCAAGAACACGCAATTTCTTCAGTGCTGTAGGCATAAATGTGCTTTAATGCATGGGCGGTTTGAGGAGATCACATTTGACTCTGACGAGTGTGAAAATCATGTTAGAGAGAATGCTGATGCACCTAAGATGTCAAGTCAATCAGATTGTCTGCAGTATCGGGAGTTGTGGAACCAGCATGAAAGTCGTGAACTTAGTCCCATAGAATCTGAAAGAAGCCACTCTGATGAACAAAATGAACAGTTAGATAAATATGTATCAGCTGAAGGTCAGCGATATGATGCTTGGGATTACAAGTTCGCAACCGATGTAGGAAATTCCCACCGGAACGTATCAGGAACGAATTATTTTCCCCCAACTGGTTCGTTTTATTGTGATCTTGAGGAAGAAGGTGATAAGGAGATCCAGCAGGAGCTAAGATGGCTCAAAGCAAAGTACCAAATGGAGCTAAGGGAGCTCAGGGATCGACAGCTTGGGATAACAGTAAAATCTTCGCATGCCAGGGAGCACAAATCAGAATGCGGAGTATCATCACCTTCACAAACAGACACTTTTGAAAGAGGAAACAGTTTGAAACCCTTTGCTAATTGTGGTTCCAGTTGCCACTCTCACTTCAATAAGAGCAGCCCCAATTCGGACACCCAAAGGGCCCGAAATTGTGAGGCGATGGATTCTCCTGGAGGTGAGGTTACTGCAAAGAGTTTATGCACAGGCTTATTGCTTCCCCACTCCCTACACAGGACTGTTTCCCTCCCAGTTGATGCGGTTGATATATAAATTCGAGGCACTTGATTCTTTTGTAGATTTCATAATACATTCGTAGAGGCTCATGATTTTCTGATCGCATCCCAATTCAGATCTCCCCCCCTAATATGTCTGCTAACAAGTCCTTAAACCCGATGGCAAAAAAAAAAGGTTCCTTAATCCCAGTTTTTCTAGTTTAGGCACCCCGGCTTTTGCCAAATTGAAAGAATCAACAGCCTGCCCTTGGTGGCAGGAACATGGCCAGACGTGGATATAGCTGAAATGATTGAGCGTAGCAGTTCGGTCAACATTTACGTGTACGGACTGCGGTATGAGGGCCCGCGCGTGATGAGTCGGCATTGGCCCTCCGGGCCTCCAGGTACGAAGATGTCCTCAAAATTTAGATAGAAACAGTAAATTAATTTACATAACTATCCTGTCGGAGCCGAGTGTTTGGGCATTTTTCTCCCCATGCAAGTCTTATATTGACTAGCTTGAGGCGGTGGCATTAAAACGAATTCTCCGCGTTAATACTCATCATATGCGTTATTAGAACGTTGCCAAGGCGATCGATCTTGTTTTCTTTTTGGTCCTCAGCGCGATGGCTTCCGAACGTATGGATATGCTCCCCGTTGACTCCTTCTACTTCCCCCGTCAATCATGAATCAACCGATTGCGCTGGAAAGACGATCATTAATCAGGAAAAAGAGAAAACAAAGAAAGCAACAATCCCTCTCAATGGCCCACCCAAAGAATCGTATTGCAATTGCATGCATCAATGCATGCTTTTCTTGTTCCTGCTAGCCGCATCAAAATAACTATTGCTCATCGACTGGTTCACTTGGTGACTTCATTGTGCCTAATATATAATCTGCATCATTCTTTTTAATTTTTTTAAAAACTTAATACCATCTCCAGCTCTATTTATAATATCCCGTTACAAATAGGATCGGAAGTAGTATTTGGGAATAATACAATTATGATGAATTTTGTTATATATATATAAATAGAGAGAGAGAGAGAGAGAGATATTGATACTGATATAATGATGGAACTACAGTCTATTTCAAGCTGGTAAAATTCAAACTTTATTGATGACACCCCAAAATAGAAATCCTAGGTCAAAACCACATAGCTGCTGAACGTAGAGCTACCAACTAGGAAGTGTTGCGCAAATTCTGATCTTACATAAGAGGGCAATACCAATTAAATTATTAATGTCATCATTTTTGCGCTTTGATTTATAAACAACTTTTTAATCATAATTTACAGAATATGAGATAAGAATGTGACAAAATTGTCTAGGCTTATGTAAAAATACTTATAAATATTTAAAATTTAAAATAAGCAAATACAAACAAGCTTTTTGTTTTCCTATAGATTATCCATCAACTATACAGATGGCCGACAGAATACAGCCACAGTTCTACTCACTTTTTGTGAGTACGCAAGTACCTCATCACAAGGGCCGCAAGAGTGGGTAATCTTCAAGGAGTTCTCGTTCTGAGAGAGTGTCGTTTTCATTCTGCGGAGTCCATAACACCTCAACTGCCTGCAGTAAATAGCAGAGCATGGAATGATATGAATGTATTACTAATCAACAAAAATTGCCAGAATATCATTGATTCTTACTAATAATTTGCTAGAAGAAATAGATCCAAGCTTTTGTAAGGCTTCCTTCAAGTCGCCACTCCCATTGATGGCAGGAAGTTTATGTACTCCTTCAGCTGCTGCCAATATTGTAATCTGATATTTTGGAGAACAAGTTATGTCAGAAGAAAAGAATACGAGCCTTGTTGCAAACTCAGGTTTTCATGCCAAAAACAGCAAAATCCAGAGATATTCTTGATATCTCAGTTAGCTCTCAATAGAGAGACCGTGAAAATTAAATTCTTTGAATATAAATTACAATCTAGAGAGACATTCTTGGCATCTTAGTTTACTTGAGCAACAGAAATTTAAAACAGCAGGCTACACATGCTATGCGTTTCTGCAAGGCGAACTCACTTCTTATTGCTCCAGCATCCACCACCTTAGGACTAGAGATTTACGAAGAGCAAAACCTATGAACAAGGACTATCAATATGTTCAGATTAAATAATATCCGCTCTTTTCTTGTTGCTTATTCTTCCTCCTTGTAGCGACACTTTTCCATACAATTTGAAGCACCCCAATGATTTTTACACTAGAAACTAATTAAAAGATCCATCTTCTTTCAAAACGTACCTATCAGAAAGGTCAAACAACCTACCAAAAATCAACTAAGCCTAGGCCAAGCATAATGCCAATCGCAAGACACCAAATCATGTCCATGTCTTAATCTCTAACAATTTCAAATGCCAATAAAGATATCATCAATAGTCGGATCAGAACAACTGAACAACCATTTTGCATGCTCCAACGTAGCAAATCAAAACCCCAATAAAGGTATTTAGAAATCTAATCAAACCATACCACAATGTACTCATTGCTAAATCCAGTTGCTCTTTGGCTTCTTGTGCTTTGCCTTTTTATGTTGTTCACATTGACCAGTGTCTCTTCATCAAATTTTCCACGTTCTTCAATTGAAAGTTGATTGAAGCGTTTCTCTCCATCCTCAACACTCCGCTTCAAGTCAACCTGCAATAGCGTTAGGTAATGCCATCGCACTGTCAACTTTCCTGATATTGAGTTCTGATTAGTTCCACCGCCAGAGATGATAACTAATATTTCTAGTTGCAGATTTTATGCAGATTGAATTGGGCTTCTACTTCATTCTTAAGCAAGAAGAAGCGAGAAACCTGCTCCCATGCCTCTGATAACTTATACTAGAAAGAATAAGAAAAAGATGAGGGCCTTGGTGGCCCAGTGATATTAGAAAGAACAAAAGAAGCAACACAGAACCCTGCACTGACAGGGCTGACCCCCCGGGGGGGGGGGATAAAGTAGAATATAAGGGGCGCATGGCTCCAGGTAGACAGGTCAAGATATATGTGCATTGTGCTGGAGAGTCTAGCCTCTGGAATAGCTAAGATTGTGGGTTGTGAACTGCTGTGCTGTTTTCCCTTCATTTTCCATGCTTGTAGCCACATGCAAAGACTTGCCCTCTGGCAAACTCTTGTTCATGGAATAGTAATAGAAGAAATTCGTCATAATACTGAACTTGAAAGTTTTTTATCCGCCTTAATGCTCTAGATAATAAAGAGAAGTGAACGACAAACATAAATGAAGCTTGTTACAAGATTTTGGGAATCAGCAACAACATTAGCATTATGGACTAGTGTCTTACGGGTGGGTCAACAACAAAAAGATCTATCGGAAGTACCATGGCATTTATCTGTATGCGCTAATGAATGGTTTTAGGTGATAAAATTCACTTACGGATGAATATGCCGAGATGCAGTAATCAGGATGTCGAAGCAAAGCTAGTGTTGTCTCTGTAACAAAATGCAAGAGACCAAAAAGTGAATCAAAATAGGATAATACAAAAAATTCGGCACCATCCATAAATAATACAAAGAAGAACAATAACATCACAAATCACTGGTATTTACTTGGATACACTGTCCATTGTTATCCAGTGATATTTCACACACACAACACACACAACATTATATCTATGCGCACAGGTTCAATAAACCTTATATAAATTCAATTTTATCCAGCGTCATATATAACAAATGGGGGGGGGGACAAAATGTGAAGAATAATCCCCATACTTAGAAGGTTCACCTGTCAATACATAGCTCAAACCTTCAGGAGATGATGTATCTGCAACTTCTGCTATCCTGTTCAAATCCCTTTGAAGCGAGCGTCCCATCCCCAACAACCCAACCTTCAATATACAGCGATGGTTGAAACTCAAACCCAAATTATCATTGAAATTGTAGCATCAACATTTAATAATTCAACACGATAATTGATAAACATATTGAAAAACTTTTCAAAATCAGGTTCAATTAACACCTGGCCACCTCCATTCGCCAGCCAGGGGATTTGGCTGGAAACAGCAGAATATTTTATGGCAGCACAATGAACAACGACACTAAATTTTAAGCGCTACTATTTGTTTCGGGTAGTTTCAAAAACTTCGAAGTGCAAAAATTCACCGCACCTGAAGCTTGAGCACACTAGTTTTCTCAGTGGCAGTAAGTACACTACCCTCAGACCGATCCGAAAGAAACCCAGAGACCAAAATAAACGCCGCGAAACCCATCAAGATGAGGAGGAAACTGGACCCAGCACCAACTCCAACACCTACCGCCGGCCCAACGTAAAATCCACCGCCGCCCCCACCAAACCCAAAAGGAGAAGGCGCATAATACGGCACCGAGTACGAAAAGCCCGGGCTGGATGACCTAGGTACCGAATAACTCCTCGAAGACGAGGAAGACGAAGAATGCGAAGAGAAGGACCTTCCACCCATTCGACCTCCAGATGCGGCTATTGCCGAGTTGGGATCATACATCAATAAAAGCCCTAGCAAAACCGCAGCTATTGCCGGCTTCCTCAAGGCCTTTAACGCATTCAATATTGTGGTCGCGATAATCTCGAAGGGAGTTTTAGAGTATTCTCCATCAAGAGGCTCAGAACTCATTTGTACCGAGGACTTTTGCGAGAATAAGCATTTGATACAATTATGCGTCGGTGAATCTTTCGAGCGTAGAATTGAGCAAAATTTAGGCGGTTGAACGAACGAGCGATTGGTGTAAGGGATGCGACGAGGGAATAATTGTAGAGGGAAGGATTGACTCCATTTCAAGGGGTTAACTTCAGGTAAGGAGATTGTGGCCATGGATGAACTGGGGAGTGGTGGATTGGTTTAAGTCAAGAACATAATGTTCTTAAAAATGACAATAATCCGGTTAGCATCATTAGCGTTTGCCGATTACCAGTTTGAGACGAGCAAATAACACCAAGCTTTGGATTTTGTGAACATTCGGTGATCCTCGAAATAGGCTCACGGATGTTCCTGTAGCTTGCCAAGAATGTGGACCTCAAAAAAAAAAAAATCTCAGCATAATACCATAATTCACGAGCCCATCCACTTGCACGTGCGCATGAGTTTCTCCTCACAGGCCTAAAATGGTCATTGACATTATCTACTATCTGAAAATCCCATCAGTAGATCGATGGCAGCACAAGGACGGGAAAAAAAAAGAAGAAGAAGAAGGAAAAAAAACTGAGTTAATAAATTTTTTTTAAAATTTTTTTTATTTTAGTTTTAATTTCTCAAATTTTAAATTATAGGTTTTAATTTCTTAAATTTTTTTATTTATAACATAAATTTTTATAATTTAATAAAAATTTGGATGAAAACTATAGTTTGAGACTTAAGAAGTCAAACTAAAATAAAGACAAATTTAAAGGATTAAATATTATATCAACCTAAAAACTTTTCTTTAGCAAACCAAGAAAAAAAGGACTTAAAATGGTTAAAATATATAAGAAAGTTGAGAAATGACTATACAAGCTAAAAAAATAAAAAAAATGTTGTGCAAAACTCATGAAAAACGAAGTTGAATAGTAAATGTGCGCAGAGACTAGATAGCCCATGCTATTTATTATAACCTCTATAATTTCTACATATTTTATATTAAAATTTTCCTCGTTTTAAGAAAAAAAGAGAAAAATTAGTCTCAATAATATTTCCCAAATTTTATACAATAAACCAAAAATTTGGAAACCCATGAAAAATCTTCAAAAAAAAAAAATCTTCTATGTGTCTATTTTTTGGTCAATCCCACATACTATCATTTTCACAATATAAAATTTTTTAGTAGCTTTCCGATAATTTTAACAGGAAAAACGTTAAATGGGCTTTTCCAGGGGAACTGCTGGATCCAGCGTTACTGTGAGCCTTTCCAATAAGATGAAAGGTCTGTCACTGGTGAATCCAGCAAGTCTCTGAAAAAGGAAAGGCCACTAATGTAGTCCATTGGGCCATTACGGTCGTCTCGTCCAGCCCAAGTAGTAAGCCTCAAGAGTCTTGAAACCCTGACACGATGGTATAAAGCAATTAGGGTTTCATTCAGCTACCGGCGCCTTGCTAGCGAGCAGCAACCGTCCTCCGCTCGACCGTCCTGCCGTGGGACTCTTCTCCTCTGCGTTTCAAAGCTCAGGAAGCACGATGGCTGATAAGGCGGTTACTGTGAGAACCCGAAAGTTCATGACCAACCGTCTGTTATCAAGAAAACAATTTGTGAGTCTCTATTCCATGGCAGATTTTTATTTGAATTTTCTGGTCGACTGGGTTCATCAATAATAACTGCAAAGATTGAGATCTGAAGATTAGATACGATGTGCTTGGCTTCTTTTCACGAGTTAATTTCTGGGACCGCATCGAATCTGTTGTGTCTTGTGCCTAATTTTTTTTCCAATTAGATTAAAGTGAACTGATTTTTTTCCATGTTATTTGGTTGTGTAGGTCATTGATGTACTTCATCCTGGAAGGCCAAACGTATCCAAGGTACTCTAATTTTTAACGTCTTTGTGATGAATTGCTTTGGGTAGATTCTGGGAACTCGTATGTAGCTATGGCAATTGGAAATCTACTTTTTAAGCAGTTACAATGCCTTTACCCGACCACTCTCATTTTTTGTTTTGGTGTATGGTACAAAGGCGGAGCTTAAGGAGAAGCTAGCAAGGATGTATGATGTCAAAGACCCCAATGCAATTTTTGTCTTCAAGTTTAGAACTCACTTTGGAGGCGGGAAATCAACTGGATTTGGTTTAATTTATGATTCTGTTGAAAATGCAAAGAAGTATGAGCCCAAGTATAGGCTTATCAGGGTAAGTTAACGTGATGTAATGGAAATTATCTCTCTATAACATGCTTCTGATCATTTTCTTAATCGACAGTCTCTACTGCCTTTGTTCATATGACTATCAATGTATTTTTCTTTCATGGCCCGAGCGGGTCAGTGGATACAGGGGTAGTTGGCTGTTTCTTCTAATCTGAACAAAATTAGAATTCATTAGCACCTTTCCTTAGTTCTAAACTACCGACTTGATTTTTTTTTTAAATATATATTATGCTCAGAAAACCATATATTCCTCTGTGATCTGAGATGATAACTTTATCTTGGTTTGTATTTCTTCACTACTGTGTATTCTCATGTTGCTAGGAATGTCTTTTGTAGTAGCCGCGGTATGTAGCCAAGTAATGTGGTATTCTTTAGTAACGTCTGTCTGTGATTTCAATGGTGGTTGCTAGAATTGTATGTAGTTTTGAATTATCGTTAATACTTGGTGTGCTTTGGAATTAGTTGAATTTGCTTGCAGATATTTTTGGTTCTAATCCTTTTGTTATTTCTATTTCTTCCTATTCTGTGTGGTTTGTTCTATTTAAAATATAATTGGAATCTTTTTCTTTTGTTGCAGAATGGACTCGCTACCAAGGTCGAGAAGTCTAGGAAGCAGCTTAAAGAGCGCAAGAATCGTGCTAAGAAAGTCCGTGGAGTAAAGAAGGTAAATGTCATAGCTTATAATTTTTATTGTCATTGTACTTTTATATATTTTGACTTCTGTGTCACTTGTTGTGCAGACTAAGGCATCTGAAGCTGCTAAGAAGAAGTGAGGTTTTAAAAATGCTTCTATGGTTTTTAATGTCAAGTCCTCAGTAGAATCGGTGTTCCTCAGTAGTAATCATTTTGGATATTTTAGCACTATTGTTCTTTGCTTGCCATTTTAGATTTTGAGCTCCGGCAGTGAACTTTTTCGAGCAATTATACAAAACTTGCTCTCAATTTTCAACTCTCTCTTTTCCCGTACCTAGGAGTGACTATGTTGCTTTACATGAATATAGACGAGTGAATGATAATTTATGCTAGTTTTTCATGTCATAAATCATACTACCTCCGGTCCTTATTATAAGACCCTGTTTGATTTTTTGTTTGGTCTTAATTATAAGACCTCAATCTATTTTGTCTCTCATATTTATGTATTTTTTTTCAAGATAATTCTTCTAATAATGATAGTTCTAGCCAATATATTTAACTAGTAAGATATTTTAGGAATGAACAACATTTATTTATTATAAATAATTAACTTAACTTACTTCTTTAATCTCCTCAAATAAGTCAACTGGTTCTAATAATTAGAACCGGAGGTAGTACATAGCAGACTGTAGATATGAAAAGTTCTGGGAGTGCATAATTGTTCCCTCCTTCAAGACCAACTAGGCATCGTTTTCAGTCCGTACCCTTGTCCTAGGTTAGGTCTCTGATTATTTCGCTTTGTTCGACTGAGTTCCTCCCCCCTCTTGTCAACTGGGTACATCGTTTTCCCCTCGTCTATTTTGATCAAGTTTCAGCCATTTTTCGAACTTTCATTGGGGTATTAGCTTGTCTTGCACAAGCTAGTGGTGGTTGCCTTGGAGCGTAAAGGAGTCTATCCTTTTAAACAAGATCCTTTTTATTCCCACTTTGTAACCCTCTGCTTTCTCCATCTCTCATGGCTCACTTAGCTGCTCCATCTGAACGGTCATCAGTTCCCTGGGTTTCATTTATTTTTACAATGCTCATTAATTATATAGTCTTGAACTCTCATCGTATTTTTAACGTGGAAAAATAATCTCGATTATAAATAATCACACACTTTTAAGGCGCTTCATGCTGTTGTTCCATTTCCGTCCTGAGTCACGAGGGATTTGTCAATCAGAAAGGACGTGTATATTGTTTCTCGCATTCACTGCACGGTGAACTCACTTCAGGTATATTTTATGTAGGGACACCCTTATTTTTCAAAGATGCAACTGGTTGAAAGGTTTTATGAATAACTTATCGCCACTGAAAAATTATTTCTTAAACTAGAATTTCCATCATTTGTTACGATTACAATTACTGTCAAAATAAAATTTTCACCGTATCTCTAGTCGAGTTAAAATTCACATGCTCAATTGCAACGGCTCATTGCCAATGCGATCTGTTTTTTTCTTTTTTGGTTCTTTTGAGCTTGGGGGAAAAATGAAAATGCTCGGCAATATGGATTGGAAAAAATAAATGACGGGAGGACTATATAAAAATAAGGAAAAGTTTCGATGACATTTTTTATTTAATATTTACAAATTTTCGGCTTCATGATTTGTGTTTTTGTTTTCGGCCGACTCTCACCACATCATTTTTTAATGCCCACTCTCGCAACATCATTTATTTGAATATAATGGACTTTTATTATATTTATGATGAATATTTAAATATTGAAATTTTATTTAAAAATTGGTTGTGATGTACACAAGCAAAATAAGCTTTTGTCTTATTTTCAACATAAATTTTCAAAATCAATCATGAGAGGAGAGAATATAAGGTTTCTTTGATACAAAATATTAAAAATAAAAAATAAGGACTGAAACTGTTATTGAGAAAAATCATTAAAAAAATATTTAACATGAGTAATTGCTTATTATATGACATGGGAGATAGAATTTCCCAATCGTACATACGTGAGTCTATTCAATATGATGTAACGAGCAATTTCTCATACTAAATATTTTTTTAATAGATTTTCTTAATCTTAATCCTAATTTATATCCCTTATTTTTAATATTTCATGCCAAATGAGACTCAAGGTTCTATCCAGTGACCGGTCTACTTACAAAAATGCCTGTGCGTTTGTTACTCTCTGAATATGCATGAAACCCAGAAAATGCCACATCACACATGAAACCCAGTTCTCTGGCCCCTATTATATAATTATTATTCTCTTGGGCGAAGAAATAATTTATCTAAGTTTGTCGTGAAAAATCATACTCTCTCAGCAACATATTGGGTCCTGTCAATTTTGGCAGGGCATTTTTTAAAAATAGTAAAGAAGTTTGAAGATAATTTCCTTTTAAAGTCCTAATAATTCTGATTGGGTAATTAGCACTTATTTTAGGCACAAAAATCGAAATATTTTGAAGAAGAGAAAAGCAAAGAAATAATTGCTTCATGATTTAAATCTTCTCGGAATGCTTTGGGTTGGTCCCCCCACATACGAAAAAACAGAGCAACAAGGCACAGTCGCCACTTTTACTGATTAGTGCTCTCGTCCAACAAACTGGTAAGCTCAACCTTGATCGTCAAAGAGCAATCGGAGCGCGCTCCAAGCCTCCAATTCAGTGCGTAACTCATTAACTAATTTTAGAAAAAAATACAGGTTTTGACAAATAAATCCCATAAAAGCAAATGATTTTGACTAACCAGGATTCATCTTTGACGTAATTGAAAAGATCTTTATCCATGACTCGTGGTTACCAAATTGTTTCATGATCCAAATGGTAAAATGGTTAGAAACTGTTTCATCGTCAATAAAATTAAACAAAGTCCTTTTTTTATTGTTCAAATAATTTGTCGTTCAATAAAATTAAACAAAAGGGGTAATATTTATTAATTTATAGATATATTAGCAATAATAATAGATGATGACGCGTTGAACTACTTGGCGACAATTGTTTAGTATTGAACTAAGTATTGGATAAGACGAAGCTTAGCTCATTAACTCATCTGACAAATCTCATAAAAGCAAATGAATTTGAGTAACCAGCCAAATAGTAAAACAGTTGCAATATTTTCAGTATTAATAGGAATGAACACCTTCCCCTTTCTCAAGTAAATACAAGCTTTCATTGTGATAACGGAAGGAAACACTCTTTTCTATAGCCCCCACCAAGAGATTGGTTGGAGTTGTTGGATTGAACCTCAGAATCTGCCCACCATCCATGTATAGTATGAGGTCACCGTTCTTTCTCGCGCCTAATATGTGATCAGGATCCATCTCTGACGTGATTGAGAAGATGTTCATCCATGACTCATGGTTGTCAATTCCTTTAGTAATCCAAATGGTAAATTGGTTAGATACCTGCTCATCTTCATCCGTTTCTTCATCAGATTCATCAAAATGCCACTCGTATGTCTCTTGTATCAAGAGAAGCGAGTCCCCTGTTGTTACAACAGAAATCTTACCCATGAGACGTGCATCACTAGGAAATAATATTCGTCCAAACACTTCATGTGTCAGATTAAATGTAAGTATAAAGTCATAATCATCGCTTCCTTCTTCTTCATGATAAGCACGCCAATAAAGCACACCATTAAAGAATACGGGGGGTTCAGCACGATAAGCGAACCAAGAAGAAGGGATAGTGAGACGTTTCCATGACCATGAGACGTATGAAAAAATCCAAGCTGAGTCAACTTCAATAATAAACCTAAACGGATCAGTTCGGCGATAAAGAAGGCTTACAATCTTAAAATCATTGCTGCTACAATCAAAACCAAAGCCTTCAGCCGACAATATTGCTTCATCCCAAGTCATCATGAAGGGAAACCATACATATTTTCGAACAGTTGGGTTCCAAAGAATAAATTTTGGAGGTTTTTTAGTGGCAAGACATACTAACCCATTGCTTACTCCTATCAATCGTGTGCCTTTAAAATCATCGACAGGAGGATTTTTTATTGTGCGAAACAAATCGAACTGATCATTATCCCAATGCAGTGAATAGGTTGGTTGGCAACATGATAGCCGACTTGATAGGCTAAGAGATGAACTTCCACGAGTTTCTGCGCTCTCTCTAATAAGAAGGATTTGGTTTCTGGAATCAAAAGTTCGTTTTGAGCTGTGGGATATGAAATCAGAACTAGTAATCAGGGCATTCCAATCTCTGCAAATAAAAGCACACTGAAACAGGATTTGGACGTCTAATCTGAGCAAAATTTCTTCAATAACATGGAGAGGAATGAAAGGAATGTTGCCATATGAGGTTGTGAGTTTTGCTTCCATAAAGGGCGTCACGAGTTCGATCACGTTGAAGGGAAGAAAAGGAAATATAACACAGAATAACAAGTTTATGGGATTGATGGGGACGAGGCTTCTAGGATTTTGCGATTCATGAACGGTTAAGCCAGGAGTTATGCTATATAAAGCGTGGTTTTTTTTTTGGTCAAAAAGCTGTATATAGTTGCTAATGATAAATGTTGATTGATCTGATGTGATCTTGAATTTCTAACGCGGTTGAATTAACATGCGAAAAAGGAGCGGTATCTTTTTATCTGTATTGATATAATTTTTTTTAAAAAATAGATTTATTATAAAGATAAAAAAATTTATTCGAAAACAAAATAAGGGAGCTCTTAATCATGTGACATCATATCCATAATCTATTTTTTAAATGCAGCGTATCTATCATCTATCTTCCATACTTCTATGTCTATCACTCCCATATTAAATATAATATATGATCTTTTACAAAATCATATTATATAATTTTTTACTTAAGTTTTATTTTTTGGACAATTGAATTTTTTTCCCCGATAAAGTGAATTTAATCAGTATTAAAGTTTAAATAAAGAAATAATTTCAAATTCAAATTAATTTTAAAATTTTAATTTAATTAATAAATTTATTTTATATTCTGAGAGCGTAAAAAATAAGCATCTCATGATAAAGTTGAGAGAAAATAATTAAAAAAATCTCATTTTTCAATTGCATTTTAGTAACCGGAGATAAAAGTGCCCGTATGCGCAGCCGACAATTGGAATTTTTCTGCCAACATATGACAGATATCAATCTAATTTTGTAATCATCTGATTGACAACACTTTAATGAAATCACGGCATGATACTTGATTTAAAAATTAAAATAAATTTCTTTAATTAACATAAAATCTTTAAAATCGATAGATTTTTTTTATTAATTGAATTGATTTTTCATACGATATATAATTCGTTTAAAAAGTTGAGAAATTACAACGGAACAATAAATGGGCTCGCTAATTAATCAAACCCGCGTCAATAAATATTTAAAAATAATTTAATTTTGGTTTTATTACAAATTGATAAAATAACAAAAATAAATAGTGCCGGGATAAAAAATTTTGAATGATTAGTCTCAAATTTTGATCGATGGTTTTCTTGGGAATGGAGGTTGGGCATTGAAGTTTGTTAGGTGCAGCCGATAACTGAGGGTAGACGAAGAAATCATCCATGTTCTTCAGGACTAGAAAGTTAGAGTCTATGAAGATGATTTTGTCATAGTCCGTGAGTTGTCATATTCTAAGCTTACTGTGGTTCCATAGAGGATCCTTTCAGGGCGAAGGGATTTAGGATTCGTTGAATGAGCCTGATCTTCCATCCTGCGGCTTGAAGGCCTTTTATGGATTTGGGACTGATAGAATTGTCTGCAAGGAGGATGAGACCTCAGATCTCTGGTGTAGTTGTAGAATTGAACGACGCTCAGTGGGTTTGAAGAATGCTTTGGGCTAAAGCAATCGCTCCACACACAGAAGCTACTGAAGAGTGAAGCACCGTGACGCTGGCCAGTTTTGGCCTTGGGTCGTGCTTCAATACCTTCGATTCTGACAAATAAGCTCTCCACACCTCTTTGCCTATTAATTGTTCCGGGAAACAAATCTCAATAAAAATAGCCATGCACGGATTACTAAATCATTAGTCATTATTGCCTCGCAATCTGATGACAGTAAGAAATCAGGGCAGTATTATGAGCTTCCTTAATAGTCAAGATATTGTTTTTAATGCTGATAAATGCGTTTCCAAAAGCAAAATAGCATAATAACATATATACAATGGATCTAAAACATACCTGTTTGTGCATAAGCGGGGAAATCTGGCGTGATCCTAGAGGGCATCATATGGTATGTGTGTAGAGTTCATAAATGGAAACAAGACGAAAACCAAAGGGACAATGATACAAGTAAAGGCCCTAAAAGAATTATTACTAAATCACGATTTCATTACAATTAAAGTTCTTGAATCTTAAGCTGGCCAAAAAAAAAAGCTTTCGAATTTTACATCTCAATTTAAAGTTAATAATTTTATGAAGTCCTCAGTTGTCATTCTATCGGGAAACAACAAAGAGAACAAAGAAATGAAAGAAAATTAGTACAAGATATCCCATTAGAGCTATTAGCGATTCCTTCATCTCGTGCGGCGCACCCTTCTTCAGACGGGAAAAATGTCCCCTTAATCATCGTGATAATTACGGGAGAAAGGTAAACCTACCCCAGAACATTATTTATGGCATCAATTTTGTTATCACCCATTGACATAATATTTCGTGGAGGAGCCAGAAGGGAAAAACGACCTGTCTTTTTCTTTAGGCCCGAGAAAGTGACGGGAATTTGGGCCACGGGCAGGAAGTAGTCGGGGACTCTTGGGTTTGGCGGGGGTCTCTTTCTTCTCGGCTCAATCCTGTTCCCTTGCATTACAATTCTAATTTCCTAAACATGCTCAAGCTCTCCCTTTCTTAATCATTGCTTCTCCTTTTCGATCTCCACGGTTTTCATCGCTTTCCCGAATGTCAAATAACTCCCTGCTCCCCATCGGATTGACTCTTGGCTCCATCATGGAGGACACTTCTGCTGCTAACGGTAACATGATTGATAAATTCTCGCCATTTTTCCGTCTGGTTTCAGTTGAATTTTGCTTCTCTTTACATTCTGTTTGCTCATCTACGCACACAAACGAAGCTGTCTTGTTGAAGCAGCTGTACAGGACAGAGACCACAAGTTCCTAACAAAAGCAATCGAAGAAGCATATGAAGGGGCTGAATGTGGCGATGGCCGCCCTTTTGGCGCAGTGATCGTTCGTAACGATGAAGTAATCGTGAGCTGTCATAACATGGTTCTGAGAAACACCGACCCCACTGCCCACGCTGAGGTTACTGCAATACGAGAGGTTAGATTGACAAGCATCATTTTTTCATCTGTGGGGTCTTGGAGATCTCCATCTGATGGCTGTTCAAAGCAGGATGGTCAAGTTGTCTTATTGATCTCGCCTCATCGTTTTTCTCGATGCAGGGATTGGTTATTCTGCTCATTAATTTGATAAGCTGTTTTGTCTTTGGAATCTTCCTATAGGTGCTAATCTACCTCATGCTTGTGGTAAATTGGAGTTGGTGTTAATTAATGTGCAGGCATGTAAAAAGCTGAATCAAATTTATCTATCTGGCTGTGAAATGTATGCGTCTTGTGAGCCTTGTCCCATGTGTTTCGGAGCAATTCAGCGTTCGAGAATAAAGGTAACCTATAACCTGCCAGTACCCACAGTTTCTCCTCTTTTGCTAAGTGTTGTTTTGGACGTTGCTGAATTCACGTTGAAACAGAGACTGGTTTATGGAGCCAGAGCAGATGCTGCGGCAGCTTTTGGATCTGCTGGTTTTATTTCAGATGCACTAAGGGGGACCGGGTTTCATGAGAAAGCTCACCTGGAGATTAAAAAGGCAGGTGGAACTCTTGCTGTAATCGCAGAAGAGGTATTTGAGAGGACGAGTTCTAGGTTTCGTGCTGTCAATTAGGATCAGTCTGTGCCTCGAACGAGTCTTGTCTTCAGCTTACTTTTGTGTCTGCCGATGGTCAACGTAATGTTTTTGGTGAAAATGGTCAGTGTAATTTGATTCTTCAAACCATCGTTATCACCAATTTATTTCTGTTTTTCCGTCATCGAATACCAACCCCGGATTATCCTATCAATCATTCATATTAAATATCAATTGTCTGCATGTATTAAATCATGCACGAAACCTGAAGAATAATTGGTTTTGATTTCTTTGTCGTTGCATCATCTTTCACGACATTAATAAAATACGTACAGCGTATCTTGAAATTTATAAGCCGAATCTATTTAATTATTTTTAATAGTAATTTTTTGCCCTTGCATAGAAATTAATTAATAAAAAAACCATAACATCACGCGTATCACGCGCCTACAGTTAAGAAAAGACGACCTGGTTGCTGGAAGCATATGTATGCCCCTACTTCAAAAAAGAAAGAAGTTATCAACAGTGCTTTTAGCTTCTAACTTGAATTCTTCATTCACCTTCGTTTCGCAACTCCTCTATTCTAGCTTTAATTTGATCCTGCAACAATTCCAACTGCTTCAAATAAGCTTCCAGTTCCAAAATTTTTGCTTTCTCTCTTCCTCATCGCCTTCTCCCCCACTTCCGTATTGTTGCACCAACTTCAATCCTGATCCTTCCGCTGCATTATTATTGTTCAATGGTGATAAACACGACCTCATCGTCTCCTCTATCAGCTTCTTTACATCTCTGTTCTCCCCATTCAAACGCCCCGATTCATCGCCATCATCTTCTTCGCTATGCACCTCGATATTATCGGTATCCGGTTCTGGGCTTGATTCCTCGTCTTGATTCTTGCCCCAGATCTTTTGGGAGATCTCAAAAATCGCCTCCTCCTGGGGGTTCTGTGTGAAACTTCCCTGCCGGAGTTGATTTTATCCAAAACGGTCTGGTGTTTTCTCTTTAATACTCGAAGCTTCTGGACGACTTGATTCTTGTTGAAGTCCTTGTTCAACTTAGGCCTGATGTGATCGTAGAAGAATGTTACGTCGTTTTGGAGAGATGTGGTGGCCCATCTGTTCTGCTTGACGTAACCCAGATATCCCCTCAAGAGTTCGATCTCGTCTTGCTTCGTCCACAGCCTCTGATATTGTCTCCGCGGATAAGAATGGCTGATACGCCGTCGTTTTCTAGAGCCCGTGTCCGTGTTGGGAATGTAAGAGTCGTCGGCGCCGGGAGCGGCGAGGGCAACGGGAGTGGATTTAGTATCACCAGCGCATGATGTTGAGGGAAGCTCCTCGGCTTCGCGGAGGAAATGCTCGTTCTCGCCGACGTTCTCGTAATGATCTTCATCGTCCACAAAGTTATCTTCTTCCTCTGAAGAGGACGAAGAAGAAGGAGAGGACGCCAAGATCCAAGAAACCAACGGCGAAAGCATTTCCGAGGAATAGTTCAGAATTCTTCGTGAAATGGACTTGCTCGTTTATTTGAACAAAAGCCAAACCCTGTTCGTGAATGGCCGTCGTGTATTTGCCAATAATAGGAATATGGGATGCATATTCTGTTCTAGTTATTTTTTCCCGCCTTCCCTTCCCTTGTATGAAAGACATTGCCTGCTAAAGCTATGGCCAATAGAAAGGAAATTCCATTTCATGTAAACTCCTCCTTGCTGCCAAGCGCCAATTAATAAATGTCGATCAAACCCATCTCCCGTTATCAAAAACTATTAATCTAATTCAATAATAATCAGGCAAGACCAATTGAAGTTCGAATTTGATCGATGAGATGCAGCAATCTTTCAGGACGTTGTCAAGAAAATCGTATATAGTTAGGCTAGTTTTTATCTCTATTTTTGGGCCCAACTGATGGAATTGAGGGTGCAGATCAAGATTGTCCCAGCTCAAATATTAAAAAGAGGGAAAATTGCAATAAGATCTCATTCAAACAATTAGATACAAAAAATCTCTTAAATTATTGAATTAATCTGAAACTTGTATTAAAAAATCTGAAGTCTCGGGGGCCTCATTTGGAGAGAGTCCACTTATTTAATTACTAACTTGTCCTTTTTTTTCTTCTAAGTATGGATTGACAA